CTCAGACATTTGCTCTCCGACTTGGCCTTTGGTCTCTTTTTTTTTTTTTTTCTGAATTAACTTCCTCCTTCAAAACAAAAGCATTGATGAAGTGTGCTTTTTAGAAAACGGGTACTTATGTAATTCAAAATCCATGTACAAAGGGCAGTGACGTTGGCTGTCTAGTAACCATGGTTAGGTAAGCTAAAGGGCCAGAGTAGAAATGTTTATTTATAAGTCAGACAGACATTACATGGCATGTTAGACTGCCTCTCAGTATTTGGTAACATCCTTCAGTGTTTAATTCAATGCCATGTCTGAATTTAACAGAGTCCTATAATAACTTTAGTCCCTCCGAAATTGATAATCTTGTCGATAGTGCTGCAGGCTCACTACGAAGAACATTAGATTCTATCGCGCCTATAAAAAGGAAATTATTAAAACATAGGAGACTAGCACCGTGGTACAACCACCAAACCCGCCAATTAAAGCAAATAGCTAGGAAATCTGAAAGGAAATGGCGCTCTTCCAAATTATCAGAATATCACTCAATTTGGCAAGATAATCTTAAAATTTATAGAAAGACCCTCCGTAACACCAGAGGAGCCTATTACTCAGCACTAATAGAAGAAAATAAGAATAACCCTAGGTTCCTCTTCAGCACTGTAGAGTCACAGCTCTATCGAGCCACATATCCCCATAAACTTAAGTAGCAATGACTTTATGAGCTTCTTTTATAATAAAATTATTACTATTAGAGAGAAAATTAATCACCAACTGCCATCAACAGTTATCAGTGGCTCTCCAAGTTCAGGAACTTTAACTAATGATATATATTTAGACTGTTTTTCTGCTATCGATCTTCATCAGTTAACCAATAATTTCTATGAAGCCATCAACCTGTCTGTTAGACCCGATCCCAACTAGGCTGCTTAAAGAAGTCGTACCCTTAATGGCACTTCACGGATATGATTAATCTTTCTTTATTATCAGGATATGTACCACAGTCCTTTAAAGTAGCTGTAATAAACCCCTTCTTAAAAGCCCCTCTTGACCCAGGGGTTTTAGCCAACTATAGACCGATCTCTAACCTCCCCTTCCTCTCTAAGATTCTGGAGAAAGTAGTCGCCAAAGAGTTGTGTGACTTTTTACATAATAGTTTATTTGAGGATTTTCAGTCAGGATTTAGAGTTCATCATAGCACAGAGACAGCTCTGGTTAAAGTTAATAATGACCTTTTGATTGCTTCAGACAATGGCTTGTCTCTGTACTTGTATTATTAGATCTTAGTGCTGCATTTGACACCATTGACCATAATATTCTTTTACAGAGACTTGAGCATCAAATTGGCATTAAAGGAACCGCACTAAGCTGGTTTAAGTCATATTTATCAGACTGTTCGCAGTTTGTACATGTTAACGATGAATCTTCAATAAATACTACAGTTAGTCATGGAGTTCCACAAGGTTCTGTACTTGGACCAATACTATTTACTTTATATATGCTCCCTTTAGGCAACATTATTAGGAATCACTCCATTAACTTTCACTGTTATGCAGATGATACGCAGTTATATCTATCAATCAAGCCCGATGAAATTAATCAATTATCTAAATTACAAACATGTCTTAAGGACATAAAATCCTGGATGAGCTGCAATTTTCTGATGTTAAACTCAGAAAAAAACGAAATTCTTGTACTTGGCCCCAAAAACCTTAGAGACTCACTGTCTAAAGATATAGTTACTCTAGATGGCATTAACTTGGCCTCTAGCACCACTGTCAGGAATCTTGGAGTTATCTTTGATCAGGATTTGTCATTTAATTCCCACTTAAAGCAGACCTCTAGGACCGCCTTCTTTCATTTACGTAATATTACAAAAATTAGACACATCCTATCACAAACAGATGCAGAAAAACCTATCCATGCATTTGTTACATCTAGGCTGGATTACTGCAACTCTTTATTATCAGGTTGCCCCAATAAGTCCATTAAAACGCTCCAATTAATTCAGAACGCTGCAGCACGAGTACTGACAGGAACTAGAAAAAGAGATCACATCTCTCCTGTACTAGCTTCTCTGCACTGGTTCCCTGTAAAATTTAGAATAGAATTTAAAATTCTCCTCCTCACCTATAAAGCTCTTCATGGTCAGGCCCCTTCATATCTTAAAGAGCTCATAGTACCATATTACCCCACTAGAACACTACGTTCTCTGAATGCTGGGCTACTTGTGGTTTCTATAGTCTCTAAAAGTAGAACAGGAGCCAGAGCCTTCAGTTACCAAGCTCCTCTCCTGTGGAACCAGCTTCCATTTGTGGTTCGGGAGGCAGACACCCTCACCACATTCAAGAGTAGGCTTAAGACATTCCTCTTTGATAAAGCTTATAGTTAGGGCTGGATCAGGTGAGTCCTGAACCATCCCTTAGTTATGCTGCTATAGCTGAACCATCTGTTAGTTATGCTGCTATAGGCCTAGACTATCAGGGGATTTCCCATGGTGCACTGAGCTCCTCTCTTCCTCTCTCTTTCTGCACTCATTCATGTCCCATTAATGCATGTTACTAACTTCACTTCTTCCCCGGAGTTCTTGTGCTTTCTCGTCTCGCAGGTTCTTATCGCTCCTGGTGGAACCTCCTGCCATAGTCCTGCTAGATTGCCATTGCTAATACTGTTGTTGCTGTGCGTCTGTCTGTCTGTCTGTCTGTCTTCCTTTTTCCTCTCACTCTCTCTGTCTCTCTCTCTCTCTCACCCCAACTGGTCGAGACAGACGACCACCCACCTAGAGCCGGAGGATCTGTCCTAGGTTTCTGCCTTTTAACAGGCAGTTTTTCCTTGCCCTTGTCGCCAAGTGCTTGCTCATGGTGGTACTGTTGGGTCTCTGTAAATAATGTTATAAAGAGTTCGGTCTAGACCTGCTCTTTTTGAAAAGTGTCCTGAGATAACATCTGTTATGAATTGCCGCTATACAAATAAAATTGAATTGAATTGAATGAATTGAATTGAATGTCCGACACAAACACACTCTTCACCCGATCGGTTCATCCTAATTTGAACAAGATCTTGCCCTGAAGCCAATAAACAAATGATTCTGCTGGCAACATAAGCGTGTTTGGTGTGGATACATAATTATGTGTTAGCCTGTTATCATAGCATGAATTACCACGTACAGATATGGCTGTTCACCTTGCTCCAAGTACTGACCTGTGTTTGGTGGCACTGGGTAAAACACGAGAGGTTATAAGCATTCAAACTTTCTTTGCAATCCAACAGATATGTGAGATATTTCACACTGAAAACATGGACTGAGTCTAGTTTCTCTGGCTAAATAACAGGGGTGATATATACTGATCCTCATCTGTGTTCCTTAGTCAGGTGAGTCAGCAGAGCAGGGTAAACTGTGTTATCCTGTGGGACTGTGGCAACATTATCCAAGCAGGGGTACAGGGTGGAGGGATGGTAAGTCAGCATGCGCCTAAACAGAGCCACATGTCTTTAGGTTGAGGCCAACCAATCAGACTCTGCAGGCTGGATATGAGCCCCCAGGAGCCCAGTGGATCACTTTCAGCATGAGGAGGAAAAGCGCCAGTGTGGAGCTGAACTCTACCAGGGAGTGTGCATTAAAAAGGTTTTTACAAGTGTGCAGAGCCAAGAGAAAAACCTCTCACACCACTGCACGGTGTCCTATAAACGTGAAACTTGGCTGGAATGTTTTTTTATAATGCGATAAATATGTTTTTATATTTGCCAGTAGGAGCCACCATAAACTCTAGAAAAGTTTTTTGGCTGCCTGATTGGATTTGAGGCCAAGTGTAAGTAGATATATAATGGTTAAACGTTGCCAAAAATTGCTCAGAACACTCTTATAAAACCTGATCCATGTCTCAAGAATCTGAAAATGTTATAGTTGGGCCGCAATGTAACCTGTAAAGTGGAAAAATCACAGGTTTGATACCAGCAACAGCAAAGACTCCTGTCAAACTGTCACTTAGAGTAAGTTACACTGTAAAACATTAAAAGGATGATATCTAATTTCTCCCGCTCTCACACTGAAACAATAACAGAAGACAAAGTTTGGTGACGTCGGCAAGTAGCCTGGGATCATGGGAGTTGATGTCTTCACCACCACTGCAGTCAGCTCCTCCCGGTTAGGATTCCTTCAGTGTTCATGGTTCAGGAGGTTTTTACCAGGAGCCGAATTATCATCAGAGGTCTCCTCCTCTCCAAAACACACAGACCCGCTGATTAAAACCATTAAAAACACTGAATAACGCAGTTCCACCTTAAAAATCAGCGTTTCTCCGATGCTGGTGGCCAGAAATGGCTCTTTTGATAGAAAAGGTAGCCGAGCCCTGACGTAAATATGACTTCTCATTGGGGAAAACTGACCAAAAAAGCAGCCCAAATTGTTGCATGCAGGCAGAAAAAAAACATTTATCCAAAAACATAATTTAGTAAACACTGATAATAGGGATAATTTGAGCTTCAGCTCTGTGAAACCGACATATGTGGTCAATTACTGTCCGCAACAGCAGTGAAATATTGGCACTGAAGCTCAGTTCCAGGTCACCTAACGCTCTGAGCTGCGAAGATACGCTCACACAAAGCTTTATTGCTGCCTACAAACATCCAACATGCTGTCAGTGTTCTGCTAACAGAAGACTCAAACCGCCATTAGCACACTTCTACAATCCTCAGGTTTAACCTCAGACACGACTATCTGTCCCATCCACGCCACGAACCGAAGGTGGGCTCAGCCTGTCAACACCACAGCACTCGTTCTCCACGAAGGGAAGCGTCTAAAGTTTCAGTGTCAAAGTGCTCCTTTGTATTGTAGGAAGTTGCCTTTAGAAGGAATTTCAGTAGAATTTCTTTTACAATAACTTCCTTCTTGCACCCACTAACTTGTAGAAGTATTCACACTGCTGGATAACAGAGCAAGAAATCAGTTAAAGGTTTTTTCTGTCCGTCCTGAATGTGAGGCTACCTACTGACAAAACGGTGAAGCAACAACCGGTGCATACGTGACATGTTCTACTCAGATGATTTATTGTGCAGATTAAATTTTTTTTTTCTCTCTCAACTAGTCATCTAGTTTGAAAAGGTATAAAAGAAATGCATAGTTTAAAACATACTATGCAAAAACGCAAATGCAAACTGTGAAATTCTCACAGCAAACTTTTCAACTGCAGAATATATCTTACAAAAAGAAAAAGGTACATTTTTTTTTTTTTACATTACAATTAACAGTAACACATCCTGTATGTTGGACCTTATCCTTCCTCCAGGACTCCTTTCTGGTTCTGTTTTATGTTCCTTGCAGCAAAATAAAATCTGCTCTTAAATCCTTATGGGATTGGTGTTGGAGGTTTATAAAGTTGAGTTTCAGTCAAAGGAAAATACTCCTCATCTGGTGGTCCAACCTTCAGGTCTTTAAAAGAAGACGTCCATCATCAAGGTGGGTAATTTTATACAAATATCTGAGTGACAAACCTCTGGACAACCAGTGTTTCTGAAATGACATACAGTGGCACAAAGCCAGCAAATTCAAAATAATCAATTTCATGAAGCTTCTTTGCAACATCCTGCAGGAACATTGTTAACATACTGGAACAATTAAGTCCTGTATGTTTGGAGAGACAGCTTTCCAACTGTCTGCAGCGGCACTACAACTAATCCTTTCACCTCGCTCCCACATTTTCACACACAGCGCTCCTCACTGGCAATACAAACCATATGTGCCATTAGTTGTGGGGAGGAAAAAATACTTATTATGAACAAACTAATATTTACAGAAAATAAGAGAAAAGCATTTTTTTGCTCTTGCACAATAAAAAGCAGCCAGAGAAGTCTTTTGTCCACGGGGTCTGAGGCCAAAAACAAATCATTAGTCTGCTTGTTCAAAGCCAAATCCCATCAGTGTCTCCAGCTACGGTTGGTCGGGGGGGCTTGCTGCCGTGGCCTCGTCGTTGCTGCTGTCCACCTCCTGCTCCATGGGGCTGTCCTCCTCCAGCTGCTGGCTGGTGTAGTTGGTGATTTCCAGGAAGCCGCTGGGCTCAACCACCACGTTGGACTGGCTGGAGTCCGGCAGGATGGAGTACTGAGGAATCACCTGCATGTGTTAGTCACACGTTTCAGTCAGTTCAATTTCCAGTAACGTAATAAAATGATGACTATAATGGTTTTTTTGTATTGTAGATATTAAATAGATGTTTCTGTTGTATCATTAAATTTCTTATTCTCCTCCTGATTGTTCCAGAGGAGGCGTCTAATTGCTGGTGTTTGAGGCTGTAAGTGTGAAACCTCTGGTGAGGAATTTAGGTAGTTTCCATCATTGGGAAATCAGTTATTCGCTTTATTAACAGGAGTTAATGTTAACATCGATACCAATGAGCTGACGAGCCACTATTGTTAATCTGCAATACGAACACTAATTAATTAGTATTGATTCACGCCACCAAGTATTAAAAAAACACAGGAACTCATTTGATGAGTACTTGCAAGTTAAATATATCAAATCCTCAACCAGAAGAGACATTGAAAGGTGACTATAAAGCCAACTGAAAATATACTTTTAAATAAACTTGTCATCAAAATATCCTATTAAAGTGTGAAGTGTGGGGGTTATAAACAGTGTGTGGGGGATTTTCTCTTTGATTTTTCCATGTTGGCTAATGAAGTTGGTCAATGTTTGTAATAGCAGTGATGAATGCTTTGTTTTTAGTTGTCTAGGGTCTATGGCTAAAAATGAACTGTTTAGTTAACTGAGGACTATTTATCTAATTTTCTACTCCCAGACTCTTACAATATCATTACATTACATTATTGTAAAGGTTTTATGTTCCTGTCTGTCCATCATGTCTATCTTGTCTATATCTTCTCTCTTTTTTTGTTACACTATTTCACCAATACATATTAAAAAACTAGGAACATTTAAAGTGATGGGTTCATAAAAACATCAAAAAAGGAATACATTTACAAATTGGACTACTTTTTTGTTTTTATTTAGAAAAAATAACCCTTTTTTCCTTCATATAAGTGAATTCTGTTTTAATAAAGAGGCGAATGTGTGAGGGAGCTGCAGTCGGTCGGTACCTCCAGCTCTGTGATTGATTGCATATCCATATCTTACCTCAATGACCTCCAGATCTTCTTTGCTCCTCTGTGCTGTGAGTCCCTGCATGCAGCTGAACTGCTGGGTCTTTGTGTGGGAATGATGCATGGAGGTCCCAGAGCTGCTGATGAACTGGCCAGAGTCCAGTGTGCCTGACACGGCCTGGACCTCCAAGGCTTTCCCCAGAGGGCCGCAGTCGCTGGACGAGTCCACCACCATGGGCTCCGTGCTCGGGTCGATCTCCGCCTCCATCATGGAGATCTTCAGGATGTCTGACACCGAGGGCTTGTCTCCCGAGGGCCCGGAGCTGGACTCTGGGATCAGTTTGGCGGTGGCCTCGCCGCTGCTGAAGACCGGCGTTGTATGGTGGGAACTGCCGAAGGTGATCTTGGTGACGGTGGCGCTCTGTGTGATGATTGGCTGCTGTGGTGAAGAGATATGATGGAGCAAAGATGGAAGAAATTGAAATTAAGAGAACTGTCAACTGTCAAAGTATTTATCCTGTTCACCACAATCATTAAAGATAAAACATAAAATATGTGATAACTTTTCATGGTTTTAAAATGTTTTGGTGTCTATAAACCACGGTCCAGAGAGTCGCAGACACAATTAAAATGTACATGTGCATGACTCCAAGGCAACATATTCAGGCTGCAAAAGACAATTATTTTTATTACAGCTATAAATAATTTTTAACCTAATTATCTGACCGACTTTAAGAATAAAATCGCAGTGACACAAAAGAGAAGAGAAAACAGTCAGAGTTAATATAACTATAAATCAATTTCTGACAGATCTTTTATTGCCTTTGACAGGAAAGGGGGGGGGACCCAGCACCATCACACAAACTGGTTCTGTCAGGGGCCTCAAGACACACTTGTTAAGACTGTGACAAAAGTCAGGGCAGGAGTTTCTGGGAACTACCTCAGGGCATTTATTTTCAGTTTGCATGAAGGTGTGTCTCTATTCTGCACCGAAATCAAAAGAAACAAACGCCCCGAGTTGTTTTATTTCCTGCTCCTGGCAGCGCTACCAGTGTTGGGTGTAAACACACTCACCTGGCTGGAGGGAGTCTTCTCGGTGCTGACGGGGTGGTGCGCCTGCAGCGGCGGAGGGTGAGACATAGGTGTGTGCAGGGGCCTGTGGTGGGACGTGGGCGCTTGTTGGAGCTTCGGGAGCTGCGGCGTCACCAGGGGTTTGGTTGGTGGGCCCGGGCTTGTGACCTTTGCCCCGGTTTGTGCTGGTGCAGTCAGGGGTCTGTCTTTGGGGCTCTGGGTTAAGGCCTGGGGTTTGGGCTGAATCTGCTCTCGTAGTTTCGGGAGTTTCTTTGTCAGAGGAGGAGTGGAGGGGAAGGCAGAAGAGGAAGAGGAAGGTTGGCTGATTTGTGGTTTGCTCTGCAGTTGCGGTGGTGGCGGCGGTGGCAGCGGTGGCGGCTGGGTGGAGGCGGAGCTGTTCCGGCTCTGCTCGGCCTCTGCCTGGCTCAAGGGAGGCGGCTGCGTGCTAACGGAGTGGGTGGTTTGCTTAACGGGGTCTGAAGCCGGTTGGCTGGAGCGGTAAAACAAGCCCGTCTGGGGGTCCAAAGTGTCGCCTTCCATCTCGCCCACCTCTAACACAGTCTCAGTTTTACCATGGCTGTCAGAGGGCTGAAACACAGTCGTAAGAAGAAGCCTGACTGAGCGATGTTATCAAGAGGAGGACGACACTTTACCCATCCTCACTGAGGCAGGAAAACAACATGACATTAAAAGGTGAAACACAAGCAGTTAAAATGATCAAATATTCAAGTTTTCAGATGAAAATTAGGCCTTGGAGGAAACTGGCTGAAGTTCTTAGGAGCCAGAATGACCTGATGAGTGATAAACTAAGGATTTATTTCTTTTTAAAATGTCATTTTTAACGATTAAAACCAGAACTCTGGAGTTGATTCTACAAATCTATCCAAAAAATCTGAATGAAACATTTAAATGAACATTAATTAATGTTTATGTATTACACAAGTGTTGACCACACAGACGCTATTACAGCGTTTCTGTTTAATATTTATATCCATCTGTTAATATAATGACATTCGAAGTGTGGGACGATGGACATTACTTAACAAGTCCATTATGTAAATGTGCCAGATTCAGCTAAACAGGCTAATTTACATCTGCAGTCCCTGGCAGGTTGATGGCATAAAAGAATAAATATCAGGGCTAATGATGTGAGTCAAAACACTAAAAACACATTAATATAAAGTGTATAAATTATCTTAGAGGTCATTCCACTACGGAAGCACATTGCATTCACTGTAATTACGAGATAAGATAAAAAAAAAAGGAAACGTCTGTAAATCCTCTCTCAGTTACGGAAGCGCATTGCATGTCAGCTTTTCTGTTGCCACGGTAACGACGTCACATGGCAAAACGTAACAAAGCCGTCGTAAATAAACCACGTTTTTAAATTTACTCATAGACATATATATTGCAGCGACCCTGCAGTAATGTTCTGTTATAATGTCAAATGTTCTTTGAGTTAATGACATGTTTGGGATTGAATGAGTAGGTAGGGGGGGGTGCGAGTGTGGGGGCGAGGTGCGAGAGTGCATGTGCGTGTGTGTGAGCAAGCCTGGGGTGAGCAATAAATTCCAGCAATAAATGTTGGGTTGCTGAATAACATTTTGTCATCTTTTCAACACGTCCTGGCGGCTGCATAGAGATCAGGATCTCGCAATTACGTCAGAATGCAATGCGCTTCCTTATTCCACCCACATTTCCGCCCGAAAAACATGTAGTTTATTATTTTATTTCACAGTGACATTTCTGTGTTTCCCTGTGAAGTCCGCGGGCAGGCAATAAAAGCATAAAAGCATCGAATGTACAAGCAACAAATCACCTACAATTAGTTTCTCACTTAGCTTCAGCGGTAACCCACAGACTCCTCTCTGGAACAGCGTTCACTTAAACTTCAGTAAACTCGACTGAAGGAATAGTTCCTATGAAAACTGTATGGTGTGTGTGCGCTGTGGATTATCCAGAGTGGTTTGTGGCTGCTCACATGGTTCACATAAAAAAATGCAAGGATGTGAGCACCACAAAGAAATTTCCACCCACCTCCATTGTATTAGGAGGGGAGGCAGAAATCTCAAAACCTGTTAACATAAATCTGGATCTTTAAATACCAGAAGTGAGGAAGAAATGGGTGTTCTCTCTGTACTCTCTATTCTGATATATCAGAACATCTACAGTGCTGCTCTTTAGTTTCCTCACCACGTGGCTGACGTGCGACGCTGCAGCTGCGGAGGAGACAGCAACCGGTTTGGTTACCACGGTGACCTGGCTGATGCTGCTTTTGTACGGCTTCCCCAGCTGCTGGCTGGAGGACATGACCACGTCATCATCCTCTGAGGACACCCCCACTCTGCTGACTTTACCTGGCAGGGGAACCACAGTCATGCTGTCAGATTAGCATATTAAATACTTACAATCTCCACACACACACACACACACACACACACACACACAGTATGCGTTTTTTTCTGTAAAATAATCAAAAAGAGAACTGTGTTTCACAGTGTCATATATTTTTAGTTTGAGGTTTAGTTTCTTCCACTGAAATTCTGCCAGTCAAAACAGGAAGTGCTCAGTGGTGGTGATGTCATTCAGTGTGTATTTCAGTGGTACAAATACATTTACTCCGCGTCTAGAGTGACGTAAAAGTCACAAGGTTAGCGGTGGGAACGATACGGTGAAGTGACCTGAATGATCTGGATCAACATTCGTCACCAGGTCACGTCGGCCAAAGTGATGCTTACACATTACTTCAACACTAATTATAATCCAGTGATGTACATATTCTAAAATGAGCCATTATGCAATATATTATAATTACTTTTGGTACTTTGAATATATTTTGATACCTTTAAGGTTTTGAATGCAGTTTTTACACTATGGTAATGCTACTGCTACTTAAAGCTTCAGTTACTTGTTGAAAAATACCCTTTTCTCATATTTGCTTGCTGAAACTTTCACTATATCCTGAAAGTAGTACCGGAGAAAAATCTGGTTCCTCTGGCTCCTCATAGTTCTCCGAATGGCATTTGCAAGAATCCACCACAGCTGAATAAAAACAACCAATCAGAACCAAAACAGGTCCCAAAGCGTCCGTGTTTGATGACTTGGGAATGAGACTCAACAATCATTTTTTAGTGAGTTACCAACTGCAGCTTTAAGTAAAAGATCTGGGTACTTCTTCCACCACTGGTATACTGTATAGGGATAGCAGCAGACTGGAGAGGCGTACCTGCTGTGACGTACTCAGTGCTGGGCTCAGCCTCTGAGGTGGAGGGTCTGGGGGACTCCGGGCTGGGCTTCTTCTCCTGGGCTAGCTGGATGGGCACGGCCATCTGGCTCAGGTCGATGGTGTGCTGTCTGGGTTTGGACTCTCCCTTCTCCTTCACTGTTCAGAGGGAAAAACACTCAAATGTTCAGATCAGTCAGAAATTCTCCCTTTTAAAAGCTCATATTGACCAATTTGTTCCAATTGTTTCTAATTTGGTGTCCTTTTATTTGGTGTTAAGCTACTACTAATGAAACTCAACACTTCTCGCCTGTGTTTCACATCAAAAGTCTACCGTGAAAGGTGAGGATTACACCTTTTGACCCAGTGGAAGGTTTTTATAAAGTGAAACATCTGTGGAGGAAGTGTTGAGTTTCACTAATGCCAGCTTAACAGTGATTTAAAAAAAAAAACGTAGTAAAAGTAGAAGTAACTGTCCGTTCCCTGTCAAAGTGTCCATTCTCGTTCAGCAGATATGCAATTTATAATGATAAAGATGGCAGATTTAACACTCAAAATGATCTAAAATTACAACTGTCGCCAATACATTTTATCAGCTGTAGCTAACTAGCTAATAAAGCTAACATGCCGTGTCTGGTTACACTTGCTAAGCTATGATTGGACAGTTGCTGCTTGGGGGAGGGGTTTAGCAAACTGTAAAGTTACAACAATATTACTGTTAAAATTTGAAACTTAAAGCAGCAGAGTGTGAGATTTAAGGGACTGGTTCTCTGTGCAACTGAGGTAAAAAAAGGCAGCTATTTCCACTGTTTTTTTTTTAATTGCCCTGTACTGTTTAACATTGGGCAATATAACCATTAAGAGGTTGAGCTGCTCTGGCTTTTTGCAGTAAATCACATTTATCGTTTTAGGGACTTTACAGCCGGAAGTAGGTGAATGTCATCAGCTCTTCTGTGACGCATTTCCAATGAACAACTCTAAAATTGTTCCTGCATTCAAATATTCCGTGGGAATCTCTGTCGCTGGTACCCATCAACCCAGTTCCACAGGTTTGTAGCCCATTGAACTTAATGTGAGAGCAAAGCTTCAGGTGAAAAACTGAATTACTGTTGGCTGATTAGCTTTTTAGGTCGTTTTTCACGATCAGCAGCTTCTGAAAGGCCGTTTGACTGTAGGCTTTCAATAAAAGTTAAAATCTGCTGTGCAAGAGGAAAAGTGTGGGGGCGACAAAAGGCCTGTAGGCATGTGTACAGCTGATTCAAGTCACATCTGCCGCCCCTCTGCTTTCAGCTTATGTCTGCAGCCTGACATAAAGGCTCACCTGTTGTTTGCTGCAGCTCGAGCAGGGCTTTGATGGTGGAAGTGGCGGACTGGGATTCCCCGCCAGACACCTCCTGGTAGATAATAGTCGGGCTGGACTCCACAGACACTTCCTGCTCTGTCCAATCCTGCTCTCTGGAGGACACCACATGCACTACAGGCTGAGGTTCTGAGGAATAACGGGAACAATGTGGGACAGTTTTAAATTTCTGAAGAAAGGCCTCGTGCATTGGGTTAAACGTATAATATAACTACTATTAACTATAACTAATATTCCGATATAGGCAAAAACACACCCAGAGGCATCAAGCGGTAACAGCTGATCTTATAAAAGGGGAACGGGAAGTATACCTTGAGCACTTCCATGGGAAGCCTCGCCAGTTGAGCTGCCCGACTCGTCCTTTGTGGACCCGTCCTGGCCCGAGGTCTGACCCTGCACGATCTCTGCTGAGCGGGTCACCTGCTGCAGCGTCTCGGTGACCAGCTGCCTGGTCTGTTCGCTCACCACCGCCGTCTGGAAAACTGGCTTTGGCTTGATGAGAACCTGGAAGGACACCAAAGGAACATACGGTGTCCTGTAAAGCAGCGGTACCTAACCTTTTTAACTGGTTCCCCCCACAGCGACCTCAAGTTCCCCTCCATCAACACCAACCACGGTGCCCTTTGAACTGATTTTAAAGTGGATGTTATTTCATATTATCAATTACATAGAAGTGGATATTGTTACAATATTTATTTCATACAGGTCATAGTGATCCACGAATTGTCCATGTTTGGGCTAAGTCTCTTTTTTCCAGTAGGTTTGCATTCATACCACCTCCTGTGGGGAATGCGAATCAGTACTATCCAGTACTTTTAGGGCTTTATTCCACTTCTCCACTTGCTTGTTAACAAACTCAGGTTTTGAGACGATTCTTGTGCAATCGGCTCATCATATCTATTAAATTATTAGTTATCAACGCATGTTTTTGGAAAAACAATTCACCAGCCAAAATAATACATTTTGTGTCACATACATTGTACTTTTATGCAGTAGAGAGTCTCAGCATAGTTTGTTTTCTTACATTTACACTCCACTGTGACGGATAGCCTTCTGAGATTTACACGCCAAATGAAAAAAAATCTTCCCGCATTTGGTGCTTAAGATGTGTTAATTTCTGACCCCGATGGTTATTATGAGAATAAAAAAATAATATAAGCTTCACACCAATTTGTAATCCTACTCGTGTTAACTTTCCTCCAAAACACAAATATATGGACACAAATTAATTTCTTTAAATCAGAAACTACAGAAGTACCCCCGGGGTAATAGCTCTGGATAGGACTCGCTGCTATAAAGTAGATGGTATGATGATACTGGCTGAAGATATTATTAATACGGGTTTCTTATTTCCGTCAGCTTTGTTGTATGTTTCAGTCGATCAATTTAAACTGTTTTAATATTAGAGCTATGGGAGAAAGGTCTCGTAAACAGGGGCCATTTCCATCACTTAGACTAAACACTTAGATAAAATTAAAGGTGATTTTCAGATCGCTGTTGCAGTTTGTGGTTTGTGATGATTACTGTGGGTGTTTAAAACAGTACTACGCCTGACTCATTGACCTCAATTTCCCCATGATAACTGAAAACAGAAACTAAATTGACGCTATATTTAAACTGGAGTTTGATATCGAAACAATGACATACTTTTTGTGAATGGACATGAAGAAGTCAGCAGAATCTTGTTGCTGTAATAATTTTTTTTTTTTTCTTATGACAAGACTCAAAGCAAACAGATATTTTATCCTTTTATAGATATTTTCCTTCATCGCTCCTACTGTGCAAGGTATTCAAGCAAGCAGAAATCACCTTGAAATAATTACCATGATGGAATTTACCTTCACAGAATATAATCTGACACCTGTGCATTAAATTCAAATTCCCCAAGAAGATTGGTGAAGCTCTGGGCAGTCTGTTATCACTTTAGTTACCACTTGTGTGCATTTCACTCAAAACACTTTCATATCCCACATTAGGACTTCTTGGTAATTGTCAGAAATAAATTATTTTCTTCAGAACCAATTCTGTTGTGTTAAGCAAACATGAAAAGAAATCCCCTGAAACTGAAAAGCACCTACATTAGTTGCTGGTTTCGTCAAATAGGACCCATTATACGCCAGCTTCCGATAATGGGGCTGCGCTGGGCACCGTTGAGAGATTATTCACGGAGGTCATATCTTGTTTTGCTAAGCCAAAGATACATTTCCACCTCCAGCTGACAGTTAAGATATTTTCTACTCTATTTGATTGAATATAAATAAAAAAATCAAACCAAATAGACCAGATTAATGGAGGATCTTTCTCATGTGACCACAGAGGGATCAGCCCAAATGTCCATTCTCATTCTGCTGTTTTTTAAAGTATCAAAGCCAGCAGAGTGATTAAAACTGGACCCACCGAGAGGTTGCACGGAAACGTATCACCTGACTGTGCAGTTCCCCTTAACTCTTTTTTAACCTCTTTCAGCTCATTAGTTTGGTTTTAAACCCTTGGTTCAGGTCTCATCAGCGGGGTCGGATCTACAGGAGCAGCTGCAGCCCCTAAAGAAATGCCTTTTCCACCCCGGATGCCCCCGCAGTTTGGTGTCAAAAAGCTGTCAAATTTCACACATGAATTTCAAAGAATTATATGTTAGAAAACCAAAGTTGACAAATATAATTTGATCTGATGTTGCCATATTTTAGTGCTAGGCTTAAGTTAAATGACAAAAGACACATAGTTGGGAAAATGTCTGAGGGTTTGGGAAATTTAGATTTCTATTCAATGTGCCACAATAATGTGATACACTGAGTTAAAATATCCTCATTAGGGAGCTTTTCCGAGCAAATACTGATATATGTGGAAAAACCCAACAGACAAACAGGCACACATGGGACGCTGCCCTTTCTGTCCCCTCGTATTCCATCGTCCTTTTGTTGAATTGAGGTGAGAGACGAGTGAGAGTTTCAGTTTCAGTCGAAACTCCACGGTGGCAGAGAAACCCCACCACCAGCTAGTTTTGGCCATGTTATCTGCAGTGCGACAGAGACACACCAGCGCTCAAGTATAAATGCTCTGATAGACCCCGCTGTGCACAACCTCCCCAGCACCAAACGGCAGATACACAAAGTTAGCAACGAGCTGAACACAGTGGAGCATTTATCAAACGAATGAGCCAGATATTTCTTTCTAAGGTTTCTTTATAAAAAGGTGCTAATATGTTAACGTTGTGTCTCCAGCTTGCTCTGCTGCCCGCACGTGGCCCAACAAACCCAATGAACGCAGGTTTTTATATTTTGGGTCAGAAACACGATCCCTGTTGCAGGAGACAAACACTGTAGCCTGCAGCTGTTTGACCCAGAATAGGTCACTCTCAGTCTGCCCAGCTCACTGATAACATTTAAGACTCATTTCTCTCCCTGAATGTGGGAAGTAAATGAAGGAAGAGGACAAGTCAGTGTTAAAGCCCTGGTATACATTTATCAGGCGAGAGTATTGGGGTTTTTTTTTTCTCCTCGGTTTGAACTGATGCATGTTTGTTTTAATTACAAGATCGAACTTCTCCAGAAAGCATCCAGTGTAGGGGTCATCAGATTAGTGACTGAATGAAACTCAGTGGAGAGAAGAAGTCTCCTTCTCGAGAAGACTAAAATTGTTCTCATTTTCAGAGAAAGAAACTTTTGTCTTATTTGTCATTTTTTCCCTGCAATTAAAAAAGGGCTCTTTTGTAATGACCTACACACCGTTGTGGTACTTGATGTCAGTCAGCAGGTCATGAGAACATCCACTTGATGTTTGTGATCAACCACGTGATAACCTCACTGGCCTGTGGCTAACCAGTTAATGTTAACAGCAGTTTAATTTCAAGCCTTAAAGCCACTCTGTCTGCCTGGAAAAAGGACTCTAGAAGTAAGAAAGTGCATGTCTCACCTGTGTCTTGCCCTGCTGGCCGTAGACGATCTTGGTTGGGATGATCTTGGTGGCGGTGGACTGGGATCCAGAGCTCATGCCTTTGGGTTGGGTGACGATCATCTTGGTGATGGGTCTGGAGGCCGTGATGATCGCTGGTTTGGTCCCCTGAACAGCCTGCAGGCCCTTCTCACCCTGAGGTAGACACAGAGTCTGGTATGACCATCACAGTTCATATTAAATTCAAACCAAAGTTTCATCACACAAGGCAACAAAATACATGAAAACAGGACATTGGAAACAAAGGCAAAATGCAGAACTGTTCTCAAACATTTCAAGACATGAAAAACCTAATTTAAAGCAGAAGTTCTACATCTTGATAGAGCCAGGCTAGTTGTTTCCAGTCTTTGTGCTAGGCTAAGCTAACCCTGATGCTGGCTATAGCTTTATATTTAAGAAACAGCTGTAAGAGTGGAATCAATATAAACATCTAACTCTGCAACAGAAAGCAAATAAGCTACCAAACATTCATACAATCAGAATAATTTTGAAGATTACTACATTTATTTACAGCCTTTAATCTACTATAGTATGGGCCCGATCACGGTATTATGTTATACCCTAATAGCCGCCACTGTCTGTCCGTGGGAAGAATGTACACACCAGAGTCTGATCATTAAAAGCTGTCTTTTTGCTGTCCACTTTTAATGTGAAATTACTTTTCTCTGACTCTTATTTCTCCAACTGTCTCTCATCTGCCCAGTGTAACACAGGCTGTGTATGTACTTCTATAGATACCGTCCAAGTCTAAATCTACGTTACTTTCTCCGTTTATCATTAGATCTGTAATGTTCCCAGAGCCCATGGTGGTGTTATCTTTGGGCCAACAGTCCAAGAGTAAGAAAACTAGAAAAAAATCCCCTCATTTTCTCTCCATACATACGCTACAAAATAAATATATGTCAAAGCTCACAGACAAACTCTCTCCACTATCTTTGGAGCGATTACTGATAATCAATGAATCATCTCAACCACAGTGTTTTAAAAAATCGTAGAGTGGTGTTTGACTGACCCCAGCGTTTAAAAGTGTGGTGACGACATTCTTGCCAGGCAGTCCTTGGATGGTCGCTCCCTTTCCAGTGGTTTTCTGAACCACGATGACATTCGGCTTGGAGGTCATGGGGATGGTGGTGATCTTAGTCGTCGTGCCTGTAGCAGGGGGAAGAGAATATCTGATCTTAACAAAACTGCACAGATGATGTTAAAATCGCAGTATTAAATAGACCCAGTCCGGGTGGGTCGCTGACTCACCAGAGACGATGTTGCTGCTGATGATCTTCCCACCCAGAGTGGCCAGAGACTTTGGCACCACTGTGATGATGCTGCCGCTGGTGGTCTTGACGTAAGTGGTCCCACCACTGGAGGCGGATATTCTGGCGCCGATGCTGGGGCTAACAGTGGGTCTCGTGTAGGTGGTCTGGGTAGCTGCGTACAAAAAACATAGTGTTACTATCTAATAACTGTGCCTGGGTATCAAACTGTATTTACTTTTAGCCATGTGTGCTATTCTATTATAATTTACTGGATTTGATTTGGTTTAATAGGACGTAAGCTGCCATGATGGTTAGATGGACTCACCTGTGGGCTGAGTGACCAGTTTGGTGGTCATTATGGCGCCGTTGCTACTGACAACCATGATGGGGGACGAGCTGCTGCTGGACAAAGCCACTGATGAAGGCTTGGGCAGGATTTTGCTTGGCTGAACCTGCTGAGTGATTATTTTAACCCCTGTGGAGGAAAGAAATAAATAATTACATGATTTTATTATTTTTCTGCAAGAACGGCCATGTTGTGTATGTTTTAAAAGGCTGCTGCACTGAGGGTCCCTTGTGGTCCATGTAATGTTTAAGATTAATATTTGAACAAGAAAGATGGAAAAATAAACGTTTTATCTGCTTACTTATCAGCATATATCACAAATTACTTATGTTTGGTTTTATTATTTTTAAATAAAACAGAACATCCAGAAAATTGTATATAATAATAATAATAAAGGATAATGAAAGAAAGAGCAGAAGAAATAAAGAATGGGATAAAGATAAATGTAATAAGGAAAGAAAAAGACAAATAAAGCGCTCTAGAGAGGCAGAGAGGCTTACCGGACTCTTGTTTGATCTGGATGGTGGGTTTTGAGCCAGGTGAGCTGGTGGTGGTCTGGGTCTGGCTGACACTAGAAGATCCTAAAGATGAGCCCTGCTGCAGCTGTTTGGGTGACTGCTGTTTGGGGAACTGGGCCAAGATCTGAGCAGGAGACCCCACCAGGGTCTTAGGTGAAGGAAGTCTGGCCGAAGCCACCTTCACGCCAGCTGAAGCGGCGCCTGCAACAGTGAGAAGTGACGGTGAGACTTTAATGGTGACCAAACAGCTCTCCCTCATGTCTACTGTCGTACTAACACAGATAGCTGCTAACATTTGAACAGGAATTCAGTGATACAAAAAGTCAAAAGCGACGTAAAACAGTATCATTAAGATTATTTTACATGCGGTTGTGTCTGGATATTACTTTTGCTAACACTGTATGTAGTCATGCATATAATCGGTCCTCTGCTGTAGAGCTGAAACAACAATAAGTATATAAAATGTCAGTAAAGACAACATCTATGTTAGTGCAGAGGAAGGACTTACATGTTGAGACAGTTGACATGACCACTGAAGGAGTCGAGGAGACCACCGTGGTCACTGCGACGGTGTTGGCGTTGGAGGAGGGGCTGGAGCTGGCCGGGAAGACCACCGTCTGTTTCTGGGTTTGCGCGTTCAGCATGGAGGCGGAGCCCAGCTTCGACAGCGCGGCATTGTTGTGAGTGTGGGACTTGGACAGGATGTTGGGCACAAAGTTGGAGCTGGGAGAAGTTGTCACGATGATCACCTGAATGGAGAGGAAGCATTTTAAACCTCAAGTGTTGTGAAGAGAGATGTGTTAAGGAAGAATAGTGAGGAGCACGTGAATATGTGCCACTCACCTTCTGTGTGGTGGTGTTGGTGGTCTGGATCGTGGGCTTGGTGAAGGTAATCTTGACGGGGGACAGGTGGGGCGGCAGCGAGTTGGCGATGCTCTGCATGATGTTGCTCATCTTGGGGCTGCCGCTCACCGGCACCGTGATGTTCTTGGATACCTGCGGGGACACCTTGGTGACCTCTTTTAGCATCACCGGCGACGAGCTGGACGAGTTGGTCCGCCTCCGCTTGCGAGGCTTCTCGTCCTCATCGGAACAGCTCACACCTGTTAGGGAAACGGAGGACGGAAATTCAGGATATCGCAGGAGTGATAATTTACTTGATTAAAGGGAATATTTTCAGATTGTTAAAGTATTAAACTCCTAAATTCTAGTAGCTCATATTCAGTTGCAATAGCTGGTTTCAACCAGTAGAGGGAGTTCGCTATGCATATTTACAGCAACATATGTAGAATTCAAATTACAATATCAATAACTGGACCTGAATCAATTAACAACACTACTAAATACAATATACACAGGTTTTCAGCTGTACCCAAAGTGGTTTGGGGGCTTTAACCAGCTTTGTATCATTACAATGTGTGTAGTATGTGCAAATAAACAACGTTTAACTTCCCTCCATGTTGCCTGAACCCAGAGATGCTGCTGTTTAGCCTCTCTCGATCTGTCCGTGGCTCTAGGGTTGTTGGTCGAACTACCGATGGTACTTCCGAAATTTTTGCATGCCCGCCTACACGAACAGTCGGATCGAGAGAGGCAAAAGTCCGCCACGAAACGACTTTTGCCGGCAAAAGAGTTGGGAGATCTGGTTGCGGGTAACATGGGAGGGAAGGTAAACATTGTTCATTTACATACACTACTCACATTGTAATGATACCAAACTTGTCAAAAATCTGCAAAGTTTAACTGACTAATTCTTCTTTGGTCTATAAAACATCAGAAAATAGTAAAAGTGAATATAATATAGTTCTATGAATCAGGTAATCTCAATAATCTTAACTGTAAAACTGGTGTTCAAACTACAACGAATTACATCTTCAGTGTTAATAATGTGCAGACACACTCCCATCTTTCTATTTCTCATTCCCTGTCGCACTCTGCTCATACCAGCTGTTTAACATGCACTCATCGACAGCAGATGCTTGTTGGAATTGTCAAATTTAATCCGACAGCTCTTAAGAGATGCTATGTTTAGGAACTTTAAATCCCAGCCGGTGCGGCCCCTCAGATCCTCTGCCACGAGTCTGCTGGTAGTTCCAAAGTGCAGCACTAAAACCTCTGGTGAGACGGCTTTTAGCTTTTATGCTCCGAGCCGCTGGAACAACCTGCCGCGGGATCTGAGAACGTCTGGAAGTGTTGAAACCTTTAAATGTAAACTTAAAACCTACCTCTTCAGTCTGGCTTATAACTGAGAGTGGTTTATAGACATTACGTACTGTATTCACTTATTTTAAACGTATTATGCTGTAATTTATCTTATCGGTTACTTTATTTCCTTTTTTAACCATCTTACTGACTTTAATCGTTTTTTGTACTTTTCTCTAGCTTTTATTAAATGTCATTTTATTGTATTTTATCTTTGTTTTGTTTTATTAAAACTTATTTCATTTATTTATTTCTGAGTCCTTTGTCCTGTGGAAAGGATAAGCCATCATGCACTGTAAAAAGGAATTGTTTCCATCATGGCTTTAGTTCTTGTTCCAGACACAAGAATGGTGTTAAAATCACTTATAATTAAGTAAACAAGCCTTGTAGTGCCCCCTTCAGGCTGATCTGTGCATTTTCTAAATTAAAAGCTAAATTTAAACCCTCTGAGAACAAATCATTCATTGAGGATATATGTAATATGAATATTACAATATGAACGTCATACTTTTGACGAGTCGGAGTAACTTTCCATTCCAAGGCAAAAGACTGCATTCCTAAACTTCTGCTATATTATGTGTGAATTAAAGTGATGCTATGAATAACTCGACTCTTATATAACGTTATTCACATGAGTATTCTTGGAAAACAGACATTTTTAAAACCAAAAACGATGAAGAAAACTCACTGCAATCAAAAATGGAGGTTTTAACAGTGTGTTTTTGTGCACGGTACATTACTGTGTTGTTGTGTACAGTGTAAAGTTTGAGAGTTGTATTTTTATGAATGTCTTATGGTGACAATTAAGTTTTCTAATTCATATTCTTGAAGAGCAACACAACACCCCCGTTTTAGCTCTCCATGCTGCCACCAGCTGATGTCTGTTTTCATACAGTATGTGTTGATATCGACCAGATTTTCTTTGGGCTAGAGGACAGGACTACCTGACTGCTTGCAATGAACATTACTGACCTTTGAAGAAGAATAGGGGCATAGTAACTATTACAGTGTCAGTAGACACAAACAGGAAACAAGAAAAAAAGAGATAATATGCCACAAAGGTCCCTGTTTGGAAACAAACCAGGGATGTTGCCCTTCTGTGGTATTTAACAACTAGGCCAGACGCCCCCACCATGAACACCATTAATTATCAAATTACTCTTCTAGTTTCTGTACCAAACTAAATAACAGTGTGTCAAAGGAATCGTTTGACATTTTGGGAAACACGCTTATTAACTCGCTTGCAAAGAAGACTTCCCCCGAGACTTCACATAATGTTGCTTTCACACAGCAGGTTTTTTAATTTATTTTATATATCTCGATTTGATTTTGAGAATAAATTTAGCCGCATTACCATTCCACTTGGCAATATCTTCAATATTCACACTGAAAGAACTAATCAAAAGGTTGAATGTCAGACAACTCATTCTACTGTAGTGTTGGGTTGTAACATGCCGGGATTCACTCACATGGATCCTCACTCACTGAACGTACTACACACAGTGAACATGTCGTGAGCTCTGAGTGATACTCAGTCACTCAAGTACACTCCTCTCCCTCTCCTTCATGTCTTGAAGTAGTATCAAATAACTGATTTAATAATGAGCAGTATGCAATATGAAAAAAGTAGTGGCTGAGATCTCAGATCCTTTCACTGTGAGAGAACGGTGCAGTAACTCATTCAGTGAACGTATATCAGACTCAGATCCTCTCATAGACTGAACTCTCAACTGTGTAGGGAAACTATATCTGCTGTGCATAATAGGGTAGGACTTGAGCTTTCAGTTTGCATACTACATTCTCAACTCACTGGCTTATCCTTCACAGCTGAGTTTCAGTTCAAAGTGGGACTACGCAGTCGGAGCTCATGAAGAAATCTTTTGAATCAAAAATTCCTAGTGCCTCAGTAAAAGAACTACCGTGCCCGTCACTATTCCTCTGATAATACTTCCGTAATTGACAGTAAACCCCCCCCCATTTTGCTTTTACTCATACACAAATAACCTGACGAAGCATTTATCTCCAGCATGTAATTCAACTTATACTTTGTCTGTTTTATTTACCTTTCTATATCTGGCATCTGGTTTTAGTTAAGCGTTCCCTACATTCCTTCTATCAACCGTAAATGGGCAAGATTGATTGGATGTTGCTGACACTCACTTTTTACGTAGACGGTGCTCCCGCTGGGCAGCACCACCACGTTGGAGGAAGGACTGGGTGGTCGTGGTGATTTCACAGTTGCCCCTATGGTGCCGCTGGTGGCTGTGGCGCTGGTGGAGGTGCAGGTGGTGCTCGTGTAGGAGTAACATACAACCACTGCAGGGAGGAAATTAATGTGTGTCATTCACTGTCTGTTATATAATATAAATATCTGTTTCAATACGCTCTTAGTTGGATGTTAAGTGACGCTGTCCCACCTTCTTTGTTTCCGGTTTCAGCTGGCAACAGAAGGGAGGCATTCTGATTGGCTGTGGCACTGGCCACAGCATTAGCAGTCACAGTAAAGGCTGTTTGAGGGACCAGCCTCGGCATCAAAGGAACAAGCCGGCGTCCTTCAATGGACCATTCAGACGAGCTGTTAGGACCTGACATGCTGAAAAAGATAAAAACGTTCAGTACAAAGACATTTATATCTACAATTCCAGTTATGAGTCTATGGGAAACAATCTCACACTTGGTAAAGTAGACCTAGCCTACCTAGTTTGAAGGACAGATAGAGATACAAATTTACAATAACAAACACAGATATTTTACTCGACAGTTTTTTCTTGTCTGTGTTGGTGAATTCAGGATTTATTTCAACCAAACCAACACTGACGCTTGTTGGAACAGATGGTTTTGGGGAGTTTTATTTCGTTTCAGTCCAGTTTTAAGTGTGTTGTTACGATTACCTGCTAGGTAAAATGGCTGGTTTTGTCAATGACTGGCCACAGTGCCCGTTGTTTTGGTCTGAGATGCTGTGCTCCAGCGCAACATCTAGTGGCAGGTGACTTTTGTATAGAAAACCTTTAACACTACTGCCAGAGCATATGAGGCCATGATTGGGGAAATTATAATTAACTGTGTCCCTCCTGCCTTCCATTCATTTCCATACACTCTGAAAATCAGCACTCACTCACATTGACTAGGTTTACATGCACAAAATATTCCCGTTTTTACCCTTCTTCAGAGAAAAACTATATTCCTACTAAGCTGTATACATGGCAATTGAAAATGAATATTCCAGTAATCAAAAGATGATTTTTCCACCGGTGGCAAACACAGCCTCCCTCCTTCATTCATTAAACCACCTTCTCAAAAAAGGTTGGAGCTGCAACACTTGCACACATCCAGAAACCTATAAGTCATTCATAATGTTTAAAAGTTGCTGTGTTTCTCCTTCTGTCTAGAAATGTGGGCTTTTCTTTTGTGCATTCATCTCTCCTCAAGCCGTGCAAACCGTTGGCTAGTTGGTTTGTTAACAAACACAAAGCTGACTGTAAACAGGCAGGCTGTGTGTCGCAAACTGCGGTAAAAAACCCCAACTGAGACGCATATGCCAAATGATCTGTATCCAGGACCAAAGAATGTTCCTAAAACCTGAATAATATTGGCATATCCCACATCTTAATCGGAAAATGCCTCATTCGGAATAAGGCCTAGTTAGGAATATCCACATTTTATTTACTTGTTGTTGCTGAAATGAACATGCTGGGAAATGGACACATAATTCCTTTGCTTATTCCATTTGTTTCTCCTCATACAGTAAGGTGCTGCACATGCCGAATGACACTCCTACAGGCTCTGGACAGTTATATACTTACTGATATGCGATGGTGGTGAGGCGTTCATCGTTGACCGCCCTGCGTACTTCTGCACGGTGGCGCTCTGTTGAGATACTGGGAGGACGGGGAAGGGGGGGGGTGAACAAAAGGGCACAGCACATGTTATATAAAGAAAAGTTTGTGCGCAACAATTGGAGAAATTGTTTCTCTCAATCATAATGTTTTAGAATATGTGGGAAATAATTACCCAAGGATTTTAGTGAGTTCTCCCAGCAGATCCTTCTTGTCCTTTGTCAGGTCTCCTTGGGCTCGCAGGGCACTGATAACCCCGGCATAAGCCTCCAGCTCTGGGAAACAGAAGCACGCATGTTTATGGCCGACCTTTTTCAATCTGATAAACTCAAATAGAAACTTTTTTGGCTGATTAAGAGTCTTTTTTCCAGCTGAGTTTCATAAAATGCTGTATACATTAATGGGCCTATGTTTTGCACTACCTTACCCAGTTTACGGAGAATTCTTTTGCACTCATCCCTGCCCAGGTCGAGGATGGTGGGCCATACCACCGGCATGGTCCCAGCCAGCACCGGTTTCTCCAGCTGAATCATGGGCTGGGTGGAGAGTAAACAATAATGCAAGTTTAATATTAACATTTAAGCATAAACCACACTGCTGCCTGCTGATGTGCTCCCAGGTGCTGCTCTGTGTGTTTTAAGAGCTTCACAGACAACATCATTAATTCTGATCATTTAAAGTAAGATGAGGTCCAAAGTATGAAAGCAAAGTTTCCGAAGTGGACATTTATCAAATGCTCCTGCTTTGTTTGTTAATAAAGTTGTTGTGCTGATGTCCAAAAGATAATTAGGTAATGATATATTAAAGTTACATCAATATACATAAGAAATTTAAACTAATTAATCACTTCTGAGCTATAGACTTCACCAGAACAGTCTGACTGACGAGATAATTATCTATCATACTGCATGATGAGTGGAATAAAACCCAGTGTGGGTTCCTTCACAAATTTAAATTAAGTGTACTCAAGTTGAACTGAATGAAATATTCCCTATAAAGAAGCTTCTCTCTCAGACGAACTGCTGTGAGTAATTACTGCGCTAATTAGCAGCACTCATGCATTCATGCAGCTTTTGTGCAAAACACAGATAAAGAGACATAAAGGTACCTTGTTGAGATGTTGTGGGTGGGAAGTGAAAAGCGAATGAATGTTGTGGCACTGATGTTAGATCATTTTTATTATTGCATACGACTGCAGGGATAATTATTGTTCATTTTTGAGGAACAGGTCAGCTTCAGTAACAACAACATGCACGTTTATGATTAACACTGCCTTTAAATTAAATGATGTAAATGAACTCTGTCTCTGTTTGTTTATTGGAGAAAAAGTCCAGATGAGCTCTTTAAACATTTATATTATAAAAAGGATTTCTTTTTTAAAGTTCTCTTCTGAATAAGAAATGAAATTGTAAATAGGAGCTCATAAAGATACCCTGAAGGCATCAATTGTACCTTCCCATGAAGTAAACAAACCAACGCTTGGCCACAACAACCGGGATGTAGTTAAAGGAAAGAAATAACAATTGCACTATATTCCACGCCAACAACAAATCCCCTGAAACAACCAAAACCAACAATGTGTTAGTCCATCTATTGAAAACTTCTGACTTCTCTACAATGGCTGTATACTCTGTCCCAACACGGTCAATTCTTTAAAATACAATAATAATCACAAAAAAAAAGAGGTAATTTTTACTAAAACAGATGGTCACTGTAGTGTTTTTCAAGTAAGACTGACTGAAAGTAATCTACAGTGGCCTGCTGATGTGTTTTAATGGTTTTTTTTAGACAACAAGGGAGCACTCTGGCTTAGAGGGAGAAGCTATAACCGACTTAAGTTACACAGACAATACATGTCAGTGGGATCAATCCAGTGTTGGTTTTGGACTTTACATGGAATTTGTATAATAAGAACAACACAGTATGTCACTAGACGTATACGTTAAATGATGATGATGCCGCCAAACTTCATTCACAAAATCCAGCAATTTAATATTCGCTTGTTGTTGGCCAGGTCTGCAGGGTTCCCACTCTTATTAAATAATAAATAAGATTCCAGGACCTTTTTCCAGGAGTTTTTTTGTGACAATACAGGACAGCACTTGCTTATAAACAGTCACATAAGCAGCATTTTTTGGGGCAAATTGACTACATTAATTTGGCCACAGCCCATGAGTAGTAGGTAGATTTACTTTCATTACACACACAGTTAATATAGATATAGACTCAATGCTTAAAGTCAGTTCTTATTTGCATCAGGGGTAAAAAAAAAAAATACAAAACTTTCCAGGACACCAGATTATTTACATTTATTTGGCCATTTTAATCCATTTAAAACTAGTCTCTACATGTCCAGTTTTTCTGTATCTGCTGGGTTATATACAGAATATAATCCACCAGACTCCTGTGTGTCTCTAACTGTTTACATCGACCAGTACCGCCCACCACTGGGCATCTGAGTAACTACAAACACTGTGGGCGTACAAGGCCAACCACACACAAAAGTGGACTTTTCATTTGATTCAAATGCTGAGTAAAGAACAGTTTATACGCCGAATGTAAGAGAAGGCTTTAATGATTGCAAACCAGTGCGTTTAACCTACCAGCTTCCGACATTTGAGCACAAACAAACAACAACAACAACAACACCCTGTTTTTCTGGGTCAAATTCTGTGGACACACGGAGCGAGCTGCGTCTACGCACCAAAAGCGTTCACTCTCATCACGACAAAACGCACAAAAACGTTAAAATACACCCGGTAAAACGTTCAGAGCCACGGGCAAGGGGGCAGGGGACAAGGCAGGGGAGGGGGGGTGCACCTTCAACACAACAACATTAAGTTACATTGCGGTTCAACGCGCAGTGAAAGCTCTTACCATCCGTTAGCAGGGCAACTTCAGGGCCTTGGTGTACTCCGAGATGCAAACAAACATGGCTGGTAATAACACATTTAGCTCATCTACCGCATTGTGTAGGTGTTGTCCGATAAATCGCAGCAAAGAAAACAAAAGCTGAGCTCCTAAACCAAGCCCAATACCCCCCCCCCCCTAAGAGATGTACGGGTGTTTATGTTTGCTGCTAACTTAGCTTTCGGCTGGCCTTTTGGGTGTATATGTGGTGTTTCTTCTTTGTGTGGTGTTTGAGGGTTCTTCTTCTTCTGGGCAAGGCGCAGTGCTGCCCCCTACAGGTGGATAACAACAGGACAGATAATAAAATACACTTAAGATGATAATAAAATAGAAATAGGTAAACACTGGGGGGGGGGGCTCTGGAGAGATGGATTTATGGCAGCTATAGGAGCTGATTTTCAGAATCAGAATTAGGTTTATTGCCAAGTAAGTTGTCTTGGTGAATTGGTGCATAAAGTATTAAAATCACACAAAAATAAAGTACTTTTTAAAATATAAATAAAGATAAGGATAAGGATAGAAAGATCCAAAACTGTACAGGAAACAGGAGTGCATGAATGTAATGAATAATAGAGATAATAAACTCAAAATCTTTATATATATATATATATATTTAGTGCTTTTAGTGTGTTGTTTCTATTAGCTATCGAAAACCTTAATACCTTGAAAGGTGCTCTATAAATAAAATATAAACACTGGAACTTTTTTTTTATTATATTGTTCATGTATTGTGTGTATTGTAACTATCAGTTGTGGAAGCACTCATTTATATATAGGCTATACTATATGTATACTACAACAACAATGTAATAGTATGCATTTAAAAGTACAGAATTATTATAAGCAACACATACTTAAAGTATTAATTTCATAACTCATGCATTCAAAATGTTACTTTAAAGTATAAGCATCAAAACATGCTGCCGACAACTAAAATATACTATTTTATACGACCAAAAGTCCTATTAATAGATACAAGTATATTAATTGATTATAATTAACCATCCTGCAGGTTTTGTGGATTGTATTCTGTATTATTATTCTGAATCTACAAACTAACTAAAGTTTGAAGTAGCAGAAAAAGGAAATACTCAAGTAAATTCTTGAGTATTTATCTTTTTCTATCTTTTCTATTGTTGTATTTTATTCTATTGTATTTTAATGTACCTGGCTGATTAAGTCTATCTATCTATCTATCTATCTATCTATCTATCTATCTATCTATCTATCTATCTATCTATCTATCTATCTATCTATCTAAAGTACAAAGTAAAGTGCAGTGTTTGGGTAAATTGTGACAGTTTAGCGAAGTACGAGGAGCTCCTGAACGCATCGGGATGGAAGGTGGGTTTTTCTCCTCTCTTTTTTTTTTTTTTTTACTCTTTTGGGAAGAGAGGGGGGGGCAAAGTATTTCCTTTTTCCATTTGCATCACACTGTCGAGCAAAAAAAAAAAAACAGCCCAAAATGTGCCGTGCAGAAATGTGTGCAGATTAAAGTGAACAGACCTGGAAGAGGATGCTACAGAAAACTGCTCCCAAATCAGCCCTTAGTGTTGGAAATAAGAGTTCACTTCGGATCCAGCAGCCAAAGTTTGACGCAATTCTTCCCCGGGGGGACATCAGGAATAGGCTGGATTGTCACCATGGAAGTATTTCATGAGGAAAAAGTAGAGCTATATCCTCTATAATCTGGATTTGGGGGCAATCTGAGGAGGAAGTTTGGGGGAAAAAAACAAACATTTTAAATGCAAGTTGTGTGCAGTAGTTCACGGTTTTCCAGATGTCTCTGCTGATGCAAACAGCGGCTGCTTATTGAAACACATTCACACCCCAAAGAGGAAAGAAAAAAGGAGCATATTTCTTCTTTTATTGCAACTTTAAGCTTTATTAACGTCGCTGGGAATGACTGTAAGAGCAATTTGGGATTTTCCAGCAAGCGTTTCCATTAAAATAACTGGGTTTTAAACTCTATATGCTGGATGTAACGACTCGTCGACGTTTTCTGGACATGGACGGACACCGAGGACACAATATAAAGGAGCCGCTTTAATAAATAAGAGCCAGGCGTTATGATGAAAATGTTATTCGGGTGAAGTCCTCGGAAAACTCGTAAGGGAAGCTCAATGAGTGGCACACAGTCAACACTCACTGACAGGTAGGTTAAATGCTCTCCCCCCCCTCAAACTGCTAATCTTTGCTATTAATTTTAATTTTGCTCACCATTTATCAAGTTTAAAATGGTTTTCGGAGTCTGTTTATGAATGGAAAGACAACTAACTGCATCACACCAAACTCCATTTAAAAAACTTCTAATTAAAGGTGATGTTCCTTGTTGGAAACGTACATAACTAGCAGAACGTATTCAAAGATGTTTTACGTTTTAGTTTGGTGTTCTGGTGCATTCGGCAAACAACTGATTTAACAAATAGAGACCAAAGTTTCTACAATTACAGTTTTATTCAATAAAAGTCGCCCTCTTCACGTCGCGTTGAGCTGGGAAACAACGGCCTCTGGGACCGGTAGGGGATATACTTTAAAAGTTGAGTTTTAGTAAACTTAAAAGTGCTTGGTGTACTGGAGGGTAGCCGAACTGGATAAAAACATTTGATAATATCTGTGAAAACTTAAATTATCTGTTACAATAAACATCTACCTGGGGAAAGCTATGGTAATTTTAAATGTATGGATTTCTCAACGGAGTTCGTAAAAGTGTTCTCACTACAAAAAACCACAAAACGAAACATAACGGGCCTCGGGTTTTCCTTTTTTTTTTTTTTTTCACTTGGTAATGTAATTGGTCTTGAGTGTTGATGACAAGCCCCCCTTCATAACCAGCAGGGTGCATTTTTCCTGGAATGAGTCATTCTTTACTTGTGGCCCCTATAAAGGTTAACTTACTGCAGCACATTTTTTCTCTTCATACCCTCCAGTACAGGATGCTGAAGTGCACAGACCTGTCTTCTGGCAAATGTTTTGTCCCAGATACCCGAGTCTGAGACAATTTCCTTGTTGTCTGGCTTGGCTGAACGCGGACTGATTGAAACATCTCTGTGTAAACATGTACGTTAGTATTTATACAGTGAAACAGTCCCATAATTTGCTGGAGGGTCCTTAAATTCCCCGGAGGGACCTATGGTGATTCAGCAGTTTCAGGGACACTAGAGTCACACTATCTTATCTGTGACTGCAACTGGCTGCAGCAGGAAACACAAACCACAGCTAAAAGTCACATTAATCTGTGCACATCAATATAAATTTGATTAAATAATCATATGACTTCCCCTTTATTGACCACAGTAAACACAGGCTTGTCTTAAGGAAAAGCAAATAGAAGTGCAGCAGCTCTGGAGGGTTGTAAGTTTCCCACCTGAAACATGTTGTGCCATTTCTGTAAGAACCGTATAAGGTGAATTGTTTTTTTGAAAGGTTAAGCATTTACTTTTCAGATTCCATCCCACATAAGTCACTTGTGTATTTTTACACTTGGTAATCAGGAGTTTCCTCTGAGGAAACGCCAAAACAAAGGCACACATGACTGCCTCGGAAAGTCAAACAAAGTCATTTGATTTCTTGACCTTCAGCCTGCAGCGAGGACTGAGCCATTCGTCTTTTTTTTTTTTTTTTTTTTACAAGAACGGGTCTCTTTTATGTAGTTTAGATTCGCTGTAATGTTTCCATCACAAATTCCACATAAAGTCCATATACAGTTTCAAATCCTAACAGACTGTGGAAGTGGAAATCATTACGTACACCAAAGAATGGACTTAAAGGGAAAATCTAATGAAAACCAAAGCACAATGTATAGTTTGTAAAATGACAGAAATTACAACAGGTTAAAGGACAAATTCAGCATTTTGGGGGAAATACACATTTTTGCCCTCGTTCTGTGAGTCAGATGAGGAGCACAGAGCTGGTGTCAGGACATAGTTAGCATAGCTTAGCATAAAAACTGGAAGCTCTGCCTCTAAAGTTAACTCATGAACCGTCTTTGTTAGTTTTATCTTTGCAGAAGCAGAAATTTGGAAATGACAATTTGTGGTTTTAGAAGGAGTTATTTATGTGCAGCGTCTTTGTCTTTAGTGTGTGACACTGAACATGTACACATGTGAATTTACCACACCATCCTTAAAGGTCCAGTGTGTAGAATTTAATGGCTATAGCGATGACTTTGCAGATTGCAACCAACCATTATATATAGTGAAGAGAGAAGACGTATCTTCAACATGTATTCTGTGTAATGGCCAGCAGGGGGCAGCTCCATTGGCTGCAAAAAGAAGCCACTAGTGTTGAGTCTTATGGAGAAATTACACAACTTCTCACTTGATTTATGAGCTCAGTAAACAGTTTTCTAATGAGTTTATGGTCTCAATCTCTGTTTTCAAGTCTTCTTTCATACAGCATGATGTTCATTTAGTAAATTATGGTCCCATTTAAAGTCATTCTCAGTGAGTCTGTCCAGCTCAACGCACCAAACTCAGATCAAACTGTCAAACTAGGCAGTGCAGAATCAAGATTCTGTCTGACTATTTTTCACCTGAAATCCTTTGAAACACATTTTAGTGTACTGTTTATCTGTGATGCAATACGTTTGTGTGTGACCAGACGAGCCGCCATTGTTTCCTGCTACAGATAAGTTGAAACTACGCAGCCAATGAGAGCCGATCAACTCGCAGTACATCGCCACCGCTGGCTGTATTTTAACTCTAGGTTTAAAATCGGTGCTAGGAGAAACTATGGTGGCTGTGAAACCTGTGAAAAATGCCTTATCTATAGAGCCAGTGTTTGTTTTGGTTAACTGTTACACTCTGGACATTTAAACTGAAGAAAAATATGTCCACTGTACTTTACATATTACCCATTAATTACACTGTAGCTGAGCTGTAATCTGTGCAGATTGCTCTGTGAATGTACAGATTAAAGTACAGTTGTTTTACTTGCAAATTAGTTAACATCAGTTGAACGTGATTGCTGCCATCTGATTTTCTCGTACTGGTTTCGAATACATGCCTAAGAGATTTTAACCCTCCTGCAATGACAGCTGGAGAGAGAGGACTCAGGTACATGCTTTTGTGACGAGGGGATTTAGTTTAATTATCTAAACAACACACGTGTCTGTGGATTTTGAAGGTTATTCCTGAAGCCTGTGCTACCGGGGGAAAAAAAGGGGTTCAGTTGCCTGGCGACGTTTGTACCAACTCCAGCAGTGGTTAGGTCACTTCTTGGCCATCGTTCAAGGGTTTCTCAGTGAGAAGAATTCAGTTTGAGAAGACTGCTAGGTTTGTGATATTTTACTGTGTGGATGTGGCAACCCCCAGCGTGGGACATGTTCTCCTGTCTGCCTTCCCTCAAGAGAAAGACTAAAAGCACCCTTTTTTTTTTTACTGAAGAACACTGCATAGGTCTTGTTGGGCTCACAGCACTAACAACTAGTAACTTAAGGCCCAGTACAGTTCCCTAGAGGCTGGGTAGCAGCAGGTCTTTAAAGGAAGAGTTCACAGTCTTACAGTTTATTACAACTTGGGGTTTATTTTCGTAGCTCTGGCCATTGCTTTTATCAGTTCTGTACTCACCACTATAATAGCTGAGTTCTTGGAACATGACAACATTGATAAAAATAGGTCCAACGGGGGAACAAACACAAGCAGGAAGATAATCAGACAGGGTTTAAACAAGCATCAGGTTAGTCAAACCTATTTGGAAGAGGAACCAAAAGCAAACTTACAAATAATTAAACAATAAACTCATTGTTATCCATCATAGTTTATTGACTGACTCTGGATCAAGTTTGATCTACCCTGCTTGCTGTAGTTGTGTGATTACATGGTTTTTCTGTGTAACTATAGAAATTATTAGCATGACATTACAGGTGAGCTCGACACTTTTCTCCCATGCTCTTTTTTTTTTGTGGGCACAGCTTACATGTAGACTATAAAAGGTCCTGTTTCACAAATGATTATCAGATTACTTTGGAAGTTCTGTGCTGTTCTAAACATGTGCATGCACTGGAAGAAAGTGAAGCATATCAGAATGAATGTGCATATCGTAGCTGGCGTGTTACAAATTTGGTGAAATGAGGTCCTGCTGTTGAACTGCACCTACAGGGTGTGTGCAGAGGTCAGTTCCAGGATCAGTTCAGTAGCTGAATGTGTAAATCAGGACCTAATCTATGCAGACGCAAATACATGTAAATCTGGCCCACAGAGACATCAGGGAGACAGTGGGATGTAGCCAGGAGGAGGTAGTTTACTTCGTCTTTGAGTTTGACAATTCAGAACAGGTATTAACATTAACAGACAAAACATCTATGATTCATTTGAAGCACATCTTAGAGTTGCAAACAGTCTAAATTATGGCTCTTCCTCCCCTTGTTGGAATGAGATAAGAGTTTCTTTCAGCCGTCCTCTTCACTTTGGACTGGAAGGGTGATGCTTGGATTCAGGGTGTATCATCAACATAAATGCCAGCAGGCTGTGGACCAGCTCTTTTGCTCTTTGTTACGCAGTTTTGCTGATCTGTGTGTTTTCCCGCCCGCCGACCTCCCCCCCCCACCCTCCACCCTCTGACGGGAAGTGGTGACATCACTGTTAAACAATGTCTGGCGGGGCCACCAGGCCACTGTCCCTTCCTGACTGACACTGCTGCTGGCGACACATCACTGTACCATGGCCCACCAACCAGACGGAGCCCACTGTCATGCTACTGCACATACCGTATAACACTCAAAGATTACTGCTACACTGTGTACATGTTTATACAGCTGTATCATTGCAGGATGCTCCCTAAATAGCATCTATAGTTTGTGTATTCTGGATTTATTTAAAATAATAATTGCAGATGTGAGATTTTATTTTCATCATTTCAATATTATTTCACCATTCGTGCCCATGGAGAAAGTAAGTGCATTCAGAAGTTGGATGTTGCAGCCTGATGTTGGTCTCTAGCTCTTGATTGCTTCAAATTACAGTCCCAGTGAGATTCTGGATGACCACCATTGATGGTCTGTAATAGCTGGATTTCCACTGAATTAAATGTAACTCTTCAGAAGTTAAGATATTTTTGGTTTTTATATGTTATTATTGGGGTAGCGTTGTTTTGCGCACCACACCCTTAACTTCAAGGTAACATTAAAGTTCCCCTCCACTGTAAAATCTGTTT